AACTCTCGTAACACACTGAAGCTATTGGGAAGAACTCTGAAGCACGCTGAAGTTTTTTGTTTCAAGTCCCATTGCGCCCTGATGTGCCCTGCCTTTACTCTGTCAAACGCCAAATGATTACAATTCAATGTATGTATATAAATAAAAAATCTTTTTAGCTTTTTTCTTATAAATTTACGTAATCAGTATGATTAATTTAAAATTGTTGCAACCTGTTGAAACAGTAATTCAGATCCTCTCAATCCAGATCAAGTGACACAGTCAAACAAATGGAGAAAATAAAAACAGTGTTTCACCCTGCACAAGTGACGTTTAATTTCGTTAAAACCAGTTAACAACTGTATCGCTTGTGGATAATGGGTGCCTGGGTCATCCAGGGGTAGGGCCGTAGCGAGGGGGTATTGGGGGGGGGGGGTTAACCCTCCCAACTTTTGTAAAATTAACATATTCGGAAAATCGGGTTGTCCATTCGGAAAAATACGACAATAATAATATAAAAAAATTTCAGTTTTTGTGACAGAGAAAATATTATAAAATGGTATTGTAATCAGTGTAAGTTATAAACTGATTTACGAAATCGCAGCATTTACGTGGAAAAATCGGTAAATGTTTTTTCGGTTTGTTACTTCTCAGGGCCGTAGCAACGGGGGGGGGGCTAGGACAGCAGCCCTTACAATAATTTGCTGATAATCACTCTTTTTTCAAAATTATGCCCACCTTTACATTTAAATAATATACTTTCAAAATACTGACAATTGATTAATTTTAAGCGGCTACATTATCCATGACAACCCGCAAAGAATCATATTACCCTTACTCTTTCCTGCAACTTCTCCAGTGTAAAGTTAATTAAATACGCCTTCGCCCATTTAGTACAAGTAAATTGTAAGCAAATTGTAACAGATTTCGACATACTAAAACTCTATTAACAACTCGAACCGACCTTGACCCGTAGATCAGTTGCATATGACAGAACATTGGACTATTATCCCAAAGGTCGAGGGTTCGATTCCCTCATTTCCGCCATATTCACCTGAGTTAGTATATAACACCGACACACACACAACAATCATATCATAGATTACACTGATATCGAAGGAACTAGATTCAGTTCCGAAATATCAAGAAATCGAACCGACTTGACCACGTAGCTCAGTTGCCAGAGCATTGGACTAGTATCACAAAAGTCGCGGGTTCGACTCCCACCGTGACCAAACAAACTTTTCATCCGGTGTGAATACATATTCAGAGTAACATCACAAATATCATACTAAAACTCTGTTTTCTGAACATCAGAATTCTGTAAAAACTTCCCCCAAAGTCCAGGAAATGACATTTCAGAGAATCTAAATTGAAAAAATTCCTCGGCCCTTCGGCCCTCGTTCCCACCCCCAATCAAAGAGAGCTTCCTACGGCACTGCATGCTCCTGTAATATGTCTGTGCGTACAATATGTGTATTTTTGTTTGTAAGTTAAATCTTCCTTTTTCCGGATAGCAAACACTTTCGTGGCTTCGTACGCCATGAAATATTCGGAATTTTTTTCGTCATTCGGATATTTTTGGCTTACAGCCCCCCCCCCCCTCCCCAACTATACATGCTAGCTACGGCCTTGTCCATGGGCTTCCACTTCCAAAGCCAGCCCCCAGACAAATGTTACATCTGTATATTATAGCTGAAAGTGGTGTATAATATTAAACAATAAAGGCATGCAAACAATGTATGTTTATTCAGTTGCCCTATAGCTAGTGCCTTCTGCATGTTATTGTCATACTGTAAACCTCCGACTATAAGCCCTGGGCTTATATTCTTTTGTAACTGGTTTTTGGTGGGCTTATACAAGGCCAAGAGCTGGGGCTTATATATGGGGGGAGGGGTATACATGGACAATCTTTTGTGTTAGTAATATATTTGAACAAGTCAGTCATAAACAAGAAAATGCACATGTTTTAATAACACGCATTGAATAACATAGTAAGCTATAAAGACAATGACAATCAAGTGAATGCTTTTAAATATCATTCTCTGCTATATTAAAAGACAATGTCAATGTTGCATAATGTAGTGGTCCACCGGCCGTATATTCGGGGGGTTTATATTCGGGGAGGGGGGTTATATTCGGGCGGCTTATATTCGGGAGGCTTATATTCGGGAGGCTTACATGGAATGCAGTGTGCTTATACACGGGGGGGGGGGCTTATATTCGGGGGACGCTTATATTCGGAGGTTTACATTATCCAGACTGCAGAGTAGGGCAATTTGGCCCCCGAGATTTGTTACGTCGCAAATTTTACCGCCCCCGAAATATATTATGCAACAATTTTCCATGCACTATCCGCCCATCGATATGGGTAATGTTCTTGTAATAGGAATCTTAAAAAAGCGTGTATATTTTCCTGCGTATGATAACACATACAGTTCTTGAATATAGTCTTCAATGCCAAAGGTTGCCTTAAAAGGCAGAAGTTAACAGAACTTGATGGTGTAATGGTATGTTGGTGTTCATTGTATAACTTACCTAGTTATTTACCAACCTCGTACCCAGGATCTTTCTTTGGGAAAGATTCTTTCCCAAAGAAAGATCCTGGGTACGAGGTTGTTATTTACAACTATTTATGTGTGACGCGGCAGTGAGTCTCACCGAATACATGACACATTCTCACATATAGTAACACATGGTCACAGATATCAGCGCAGAATAATGCATCATTACACATACTTACACGCATAGTTACACGTAGTCGCGCATAACAGTACATGGCAACACATGCATCGTCGCATATATAGTAACGCATTCTCACATATAGTAACACATGGTCACAGATATCAGCACAAAATAATGCATCATTACCACTGAGCTTTACTATATTACTGGAGGAAGTGCTTCTATCTCTCTTCAGCCAAAAAAGTGTTGCCAAAAACATGGCGGATTTTCACGTTTGCTGACGCCAGAATGACGCCAGTACTGGTTCCAAATCCTCGTGGTATATAATTACAACTGAGCAAGGCTCATTTTGAGCCCGCTACAACTCTCACATCCCCCTGATTTTCGCAAAAATATTTTAGCTTTTTGTTTCGAAGTTTGCCTCACACATATGGTCCTTCATCGTCACGTGTGTATTCTATTTCTGCCAAATCCACCAATAGCAATTTCCAGTTTCCCTATTGTTCGAGTCACGGATAGATGAATTTCCTAAAACATTCCTACAATTAATACAATACACACGTGACGGTAAAAATACAATACACACGTGACGGTGAAGGACTAGATTGATGAATAAACGTTGACCAACATAGATAATGAGTTATATTGTTATTCTAATGAGTTTCACAGCCATCTCCCCTTCGATAGGCTATGGTTTGTTGTAGCTATATGAGACACCGGTAAATTGATAAATTCTGTCATAGAATATTGTCGTGTAGGTTATCCGTGTCGAACAGGCGCGGAACCAAATTTTTGCCCCGTTATTTGAAGGAAAAGTCATAATTTTTTGACTGTCGTGAACGAATTTACCTCAAATGAACGTGACAACAGTTGGGTAAGGAATTGTTTGGAATGTTTTATAAGCGGTTTGTATCATTTTTTATTTATAAATTAAAACTCTTTAAAATTCTCACCAATAATTCATGAAGAAATTTTAAAAGAAATGAATGTTTAATAATCAATGTTAGTCAATCGGATAAAGATTTGTCCAGATTTACATAATTTCAGCTTTGATTTTTTCGACTAAGACAATGTTTATTTTTAAAATATGCGTACAACTCACGTCGCAAATGCAATGTGGATCAGTTCGATTTCTCTAGATCTATGCCCAACCCTATTCTGCGAACGGGAAAGTTCTGGGTACGAGATTGGGATTTACCCAAAATAAGAACCTCTTTGAGAGACTTGGAGCGAATTTATTTATTTTTCTGCGTGTACATACAATGTTACCACCTTTACCATCAAAGTCGTTTATCACCAGCATGTCGACTGGAAGAGCAGAAGAGAGATAAACTCTTCTTTCTGATATAAGACGCACGTTCGTTCCCATTTCCCTTAAGCCGGTAATTTTCCATTATGGCAGAATTTTGCGCTCGGAGCGGAATTTTTCTTTGTCTTTTCTAATTAGTTCCACCCGAGAAATCACAAGACAAAGAAAAAGTCCGCTCCGTGCGCAAAATTCCGGCTAGTGGAAAATCGGCTTTACAGCTTCACGTTTATACGATTATACCAACCTCCGAACCTCGTACCTAGGGCTTTACGGCTGCCTGCGAAACCCTGGCAAACAATTCTGGCAAACGAAATTGCGTTTTAACCAGATTGATATTTTTATGGCGAAAATCCAAATGTTCTGTTTTTTCGTCATGTTTGTGTGAAAGAAATATATTGAAAAAACAGTATTCGAATATAGAAAAGTTGCAATCCCGGTAAGGGATTGGAACCCCTGATTAAAAGTCTGATACTCTACCACCGCGCTGACCAAACTCGCATATCTAATGAGGGTAATATATCTTGTAAATTGTTGTCGCAATTTGCTGGGAATTTCGCCTGTTTTCAGGAGATCATTATGGATTTCGAATTCGCTCGGAACAGTGTGCGTTTCGTCTAGTATGGGCAGTGACACCTGACTGGATTAAATATATATGTGAATCCAATACGTCATCGCATAATACGTTCCATTGCCATGATTATACTGTTCGACTTTCTTGCATCGTTTGAAACCCTCGGAAAAACGTAATTCAGTTAATTTTAGTGAAAACACCAAGCGCAAATTTTAATGTGCAAATTTGATGCTGTTTGATTAAATCGCTGCCCTAAAAAAGTTTGTGGTAATTTAATGTTTCCAAAAAGCCCGATTAGGGATTCTAACACCCGCCCCTCAGATGAAACGTCTGATGCTCTGCCGACTGAGCTAACTGGACCCGCATAGCTGATTGGACTTATAATCCATGGTATAATAAATTGGACATAACTGGTCATTACCAACATTGAAATGACCCTCATATGGCGTATATTAAGGAAACCGTGGGTGTTTTTAAATGACGTGTATCAACCAACCTGCACTGGAAACACTAAATTATACTACCAAATCATGCCTTTAAACTGAGCTTTTATTTTCAGGTAGTTATGTACAAATTATTTTGGAAAATTCCTGATAATCCTTGACATTGCAAAGTGGTTGATATTAACAGATCACTTTGCCATCATTCTGAAAGCAGTATGAGAAAACGTTTCAAATTCTGTGCTGATTTTAATAGAACTGGTAATCTCTTTAATTATGTTCATAGTGATTATAATATTACAAATATGATTGATTCAATAGAAATCTGCCAAAAGCTGCTACCCTATCAGAACACTGAGCAATCTCTGGATTTAATCTGATTGTCAAAGAGATTTGTTGATGGAAATTTCCAGTGGAATGTTTATTATACATTTATTAGACCTAACCAGGAGCAGTTGCGAAAAATCCAACTATCCTCTCTCTGTCAGGAATCGAACCTGCGGCACTGCGATTCCTGTGCAGAGCTCTAACCAACTGAGCTACACTGTTAATGACATTGGTATTCGAAACGTGCTCTGTTCACCCTTATTACATGCACAGCACTTACGCAAAAACGTTTCTCTTGCAGGCATTAGAATTCAAAGCAATTTGTATTGCGCTCCATTTAATGAACACGCGATGCCCACTATACATATTTTGTGATCATAAAAAAACAAACAAGTTTCCGAATCTGATCGTAAATTTTTATTTAACCACCCCCTTTCGCATCAGATTACGACACAATTTTTCTAATATAATTATCTCGGCGAGTATTTACCCCCCTTGTAAATAAAAGCCACCATTGAAATCCTCATAAAATAACCTTTCGAACGGGGGGTCAAGTGCCGTCAGAGCATTACACAAACCGAAACAATCATATATTTACTCACCGCTTGGCCAAAGATTCTAGATTTTATATCTACAAGATTTTGAATATCTCTTGAACTTTTCGTCATTTTCTGAACGGCTATATGTGTAAAATACTCTTTGTATCCAAGCGCTTTCGCTATGGTATACGCAGACCAGAAATATTTATTTTGAATTTTTCAAGATGTCGGGTTTTACTCGCACTTGCGAACATTACGCAATAATTGGCCAATAAGAAGCTCCTGTTGGCCGGTATGACGTCAAACTCACGCGTGTAGGCGCAATTTGACCTTGCGAACCATTTCTGGCCTTTCCAGGGTCATACGATACAAACGTCGCATTGTTTTGACGGTTTTTAGACGTATTTCCGGTTGGGATTTACTCACTTCGAGCTCACAGTCGGACAAGAAATGGAAATATATTGATACTAGAAGTTACTATCGCAAGGAAAATGCTGCCTTACCCCCCCCCCCCAAGGAATGAAAGGCAGCATGCGCACTTTGCTAAATAAAGGGCTGTTTATATTATCCCGGTTTGCCAGGATGAGAGATGAGGCTGGATGATTTCAATCAGGGACGCCAGAACAATGTAAAGGCAAGGGGGGCAGATTTTCGTGAAAGGGCACTTCTGAATTGATATATACTAAGAGATGTTTGCAAAACATCGGGAGTTGAACTTTGCCTAATCATGTTTCCTATTTATTGGATGATAGGGGTGTGAGGGGGTTTTCCGCCAGGCGATTGTGCTATTCTTGAAGCTCAATGACTGCATTTCTTGCGTTTTCTGAAGCAAATTCGTAAGATAATTGCACTAACATTTTTGACAATTCCCTATTTCGCCAAGGCAATCCTTTAAATTGAAAGGGCACCTCTGCCCCACTTGCCCCTCCTGGTAAAGGGCAACGGGGACGGCTGCCCCTCCTGCCCCCCAGTTCCGGCATCCCTGATTTCAATGTATTGAACTAAGTCATGGTGCACAATTCAGCAAAAAAACTTCATTATTTTCTAGAGATAGATTATAAAGCAGCAATAACTGCAAGATCTTCTCTACTGTACAACATTTGAGTTCTGTTAACCACCATTTGAACTTTCGTTTAGCCTATTTACTTATTTCAATACACCAAAATCGTTCCACCTTCCATCATGTAAACAGCCCTAAGATGCCTGTTCAAGAGGTAGGATGTGTAATTTAAATTAATACCAAACACCTTGCCACAAGGTCAAAGGTCAGCTAAATATTCTAATTCTACTTCTTTGGCATGGAGCCTATATGAATACCTTCAATGCCTATAACCTCTTGCTTTTGTATGTATATTTATAATACTGTCAGTGGT